TATATATATATATATTAAAATCTTTTCTTAATTTTAAAAATATATGTAAAAATTATATTTTAATGTAAAAATCGATTTTTCAGATTAAAGAACAACGATATACAGAAACAATAAAAATATTACTTACACTTTTAGACTTTTATCCCATTGTATGTATGATTATATGACATAAAATATAAATTTTTTTATCAATAAATAATTTTATGATAATAAATTATTTTACAGTCCAGACCCTGTTTGTCTCTTCTTGCTCATTGTTATTTTTATACACAAGATTTTATAGCTTCTGCACATTGCTATGAAAAATTAATTCAATTATGTCCTAATGAAAGTATATATAAATTATATCATGCTCAATCTTTGCATCAAGCATGTATGTATCAAGAAGCTTGGACAATATGTTCAAATATTATTAGTCAAAGCAATTTAGAATATAAAGTAAAGAAATTACAAGCAGCCATAAAATATGGGCAAGAAGATATTGTTGCTGCAAAAAATTTAATTGATCAATGTTCAATAGATGATATTGATACAGAGATTAATTTAGGATGTCTTTTATATAAGGTATGGAAAATATTAAAGAAATGTATATATATGAAGTATATATTTATCTGTTTTTCTTTTTAGGAAGAACAATATGAACAAGCTTTAAAAAAGTTTGCAAATGCATTACAAATTATAGGTTTTAAGCCTCATTTATCATATAATGTAGCACTTTGTTACTTTAAATTAAAAGAATATGCTGCATCATTAAAACATATTGGTAAAGATAATATTTATACTAATCTTTATAATATTTATTTTATATATAACATTTTAATAGTTTATTATTTTAGCCGATATTATTGAGCAAGGAATAAGAGAACATCCAGAATTAGGAGTGGGTATGACAACAGAAGGTATAGAAGTACGCAGTGTTGGAAATACATTAACACTTCATGAAACAGCTTTAACAGAAGCATTTAACTTGAAAGCAGCTATAGAATATCAATTACAAAATTGTAATTATTTATACATTGTAAATTTAGTTTCTCATAATTTATCTAATATATTTTATATTTTTTATTTATTCAGATGAATCAGCAAAAGAAGCATTAACAGATATGCCTCCTAGATCTGAGGAAGAACTTGATGCTGTTACTTTACATAATCAAGCTTTAATAAATATGGATACAAAGCCAAGTGAGGGATTTGAGAAACTTCAATTTTTATTACAACAAAATCCATTTCCACCTGAAACTTTTGCAAATTTATTGTTGCTATATTGTAAATACCAATATTATGATTTAGCTGCTGATGTTCTTGCTGAAAATGTACATTTGACTTATAAATATTTAACACCAGTAAGTATGATTTTTATTATTACATTGTTATATATATCTTTTGCAAATTGTGCATTAAAAATATTTTAATTATTTAAAAAAAATATAAAATTAACACAAAAAATAATTTTGAATTTTAAAGCTTTTATATTTTATATTTTTACTTATCAGTATATTTAGTTTTTGAATGTTTACATTTCTTAGTATGTTTTTCTAAATTTTCTGAATGCTTTCGTTTATGAGCTTTCATATCATGACTAGAAACACTATCACTAGAACTTTCATCACTAGAAGAACTGTCATATTTTTTCTTTTTTTTCTGATCTTTAGAATATTTTTTCTTTTTCTTTTTAATTATACTTTCATCAGAATCACTATCAAGAATATCTTGTCTGATTCTTTTAGATTTTTTTTTCTTTTTTAATTTCTTTTGTTTATGTTTTTTTTCTTTCTTACTTATATTAATTTCTATTTGAACATCTTTTTGTTCTTCTTTTTTCTGTTCTTCTATTTCTGGAATTAGTTCATACTTTTTTCCATCAGGACTCATAAAACAATCATTAGATAAATGACCAGCAGTTCCACACTTTTTACATGTAGTATTAAGAACTGCTTCTAAATGTATAGTTTTGCGTTCATGCTTTTCAATAATCTTTTTCTTTTGTATATCTCTTTGTAATTGTACTCCATTTGGATCTAAATCTGTACCATTTCCCTGATTTACATATTTCATAGATAATCCTATTTTTCCATCATCTCCAATAGAAATAACTTTACACCAAACACGTTCTCTTTTTTGTAAAACTTCTGTAACATTATCAACATGAACACAACTAATCTAGAATTATAAAAATTAAAATTAATTGCATCATAAAATATAAATATTATAAAATATAAATAATTTGTTATGGACATATTTTCTTAATACTTGTGATCTATGTATTAATCCTTGTACAGAACAACCTGGGATTCTGATAAAAGCACCATAATTTTGTACAGATGCAATTTCTCCAAGAAATATTTGATTTAATTCACAATTAGTCATTTTTAAAACTTAACAAGACTATTTTATTATAAATTATATGATTAACATATGTAAGCAAATAACAATAAACAAACGTCAATCAAATTTCATATGAAGGTTAGGTTTATTCATGATATTAAATATAGGACTGTAGTAAGCAAATTAATTTGAGGGTGCAAATAATGAAAAATGGAAATTTATACATTTATAAATTTATATTTTATTCAATAAAAATTTTAATTTATTAAAATTAAAAAAAATAAAATAAAAAGAATTTTATTGAAATTATAATAATATTTATTTCTCAGTATTTATATGACTTTTTGGATGCATTAATCACACAACAAACTTCACCGGAAGAAGCATATCGCAAATTTGATGATCTTGGTAATAAACACATGGAAATATTACGAAAAGCAACAAAACGAGTTCAGGAAGCACGATTAAATCATGATGACGGTGCTGTTAAAAAGGCTGTAAATGATTATGAAGAAGCTTTAGAAAGATATGTACCAGTTTTAATGGCACAAGCTAAAATTTATTGGGAACTTGGAAATTATATACAAGTTGAGAAAATTTTTAGAAAAAGTGTAGAATTTTGCAATGAACATGATATATGGAAATTAAATGTAGCTCATACTCTTTTTATGCAAGAAAATAAATTCAAAGAAGCAACAGGATTTTATGAACCAATTGTTAGAAAAAAATATGATAATGTTAGTTGTTTCATCTTTAATTTGCATCTTCAATTTATTTTGATCTGAATATATATGTTATTTCAATTATTAAATATTAAAAATTTCAGATTCTAGACGTAAGCGCTATAGTACTCGCTAATTTATGTGTAAGTTATATCATGACATCGCAAAATGCGGAAGCTGAAGGATTAATGAAAAAAATAGAAAAAGAAGAGCAAGTAGTTTCACGCGAAGATCAAGATAAAAAATTATTTCATTTATGCATAGTAAACTTAGTAATTGGAACATTATATTGTTCTAAGGGAAATTACGAGTTTGGTATATCTAGAGTCATGAAAAGTTTGGAACCTTACAATAAAAAATTGGGAACAGATACTTGGTTTTATGCGAAAAGATGTTTTCTTTCTCTTTTAGAACAATTGGCTAAACAATTAGTAGTTTTAAAAGATACTACTCTTCAGGAATGTATACAATTTTTAGAACATTGTGAAGGTATATATTTTATTTTTATAAACAATAATATTTGTTCACAATTGTTAAAATATTTATATTATTTTTTATTTTATTAGTTTATGGAAGAGACGTAATAACAATAGTAGAACAATCTTTTGATATGCAGGATATGCTTGCTATTACTCCACAAGGCAAGCAAACAGTTGTTTATGAAGCGCGATATTTAAAAGCTTTATTTTTGAAATTGCAAATGTCTTAATATCTATTAATATATGTATATCTCTTTTATCTTACATATATTTATATATAAATATTGTATATAAAACATAAAAAATATTTATGAATATTAATTAAAAAAATTTAAATGTATAACATTATTTTTAAGCAATTAAATATATTTTTTGTATTTTATGTATAAGCATGTAATTTCACAACATTTTTAAAATATATTGGAAATTTAAAAATAATTTCTTTAATTATGATTTAATATGTAGTACATGTTTTACGATTTACTATGTACGTCACTGTAGTGAAAATGGTGGTCGACATGGAGTTACAGGAAGCTAAAGATTATGTTCTTCAACTTATGAAAGATAAAGATAAAATTGAATCAGATTTGAAAGCTTTAAAAGAAATTTTAGATATTGTATGTATGTTAATATTTTAGACTTGCACAAAAAGTCTATTTAATTATATCATCCAGAATAAATATATTTACATAGAATGAGCTGTCAAATTTTCGAAAAAATTATTGAATATTTACATATATAAATTGTAGAATCATGTCGGCATGGATGATCCTCTGGTGGACTGTGAAGGGTATCCACGAAGTGATATTGATGTTTATCAAGTGAGACATGTGAGACATAAAATAATATGTGCGTCTAATTACTATGCAATTTTCTCTATGTAATTTTATTAACTTTAACTTATTAGTAAATTATTAAATGATTAGGTCTTAGAAATGATCATAAAGCATTGATGAATAAAATAGAAGAAGGTTTGCATAGAGTGCATGCCTTAGCAGGAAATCAAGCAGAATGTTCTAATACAACTGCAACTATTATTCAAGACAATGCACAATTAGATCCTTTCTTAAAGGTGAATTTAGTATCTCCAGGTTCTCCAGCAGAAATAGCAGTAAGAATTTTTTTGAATTTCCATAAATGATTATAAACTCAGAATATAATTTATTTATAATTCATTTTGAATGTTAAATTGTATAGGGAATCCAAGTTGATGATCTTATCTTAGAATTTGGGTCTATTGATTGTCGGAATTTTAAATCATTAAAAGATATTGGAACTCTGGTACAAAATAGTAGATATAAGACAATAAATATAAAAATTAAACGTGGATCTAATATCATTGCTTTGACTTTAATTCCACGTCCTTGGATTGGTAATGGTCTTCTGGGTTGCAATGTAATACCTATAGAGACAGTTGAAAGATAAAGTTTTTGAAATAAATTTTTATTTATATGTTGATTTTGTGTGTATACTATCAATAAAGGAATATTTATAAAAATGTTGTGTTTATAATTATTGTATTTATAATATATGTATATTTTTTATATAATAATATATATTTTTATATAATAACCTTGAAATTGGTTTTAAATAAATATTAAAGTATAATCCTAAGACTCTTAGATTTTGAAATTCAATACATATAATCTTTCAATGTAAATTCTCATTTGATTGAGTATTTAAAGTGGTAGAGTTGTTATAAATTCAAGCACATTCTAAGAAGCAGGAGTTAGTACTGGAAAATAGTAACAAGATGCATTTCTCGTTGATTGTAAGTTATAATTTATATTATATTTATATTTTATATATTTTGTATATATTATATATAAATATATATATATATATTTATTTATTTATTTGTTAGTAAAAATATTTTTTAAGCAGATAGTATTAAGCTTAATTATTTGTGGATGTCAAGTACTAAGTCAAACTAATACTTATGAATATTCTGATCAACATCCATGGTCACTTGTCTATACCTTATATCCATTTTATAATTCTGAAACATTACTGGAAGTGTGGAAGGGAGATAAAACTGTTGATATTTCAACCAATGTAGTAACTTTAGCTCCACATGAACAAGAACAAACAGTTTTATTTTCTGATGATATTCAACATAATGGTACAAATTTAAAATCACAAAACAATTTATCTTATTTTTTAAGCGAAACCAAAAATATAAATAATGAACAATTATCAAAAAACAAACTCCCCAATTATGTAAGTATTAAATCAGCTTTTAAATTTTATTACAATAAATGTATGCTTATATTATTGCTTAATATTTATTTTAATTGATATTTATTTTAATATATAGAGAAACAGACATAAAGATACAAATCTTCAAAATGAGTAACAAAGTATTTGGATTTCAACTGGATTTTATGATTTAAAGGATTCATATATTTATGCATAAAAGTATAATTTTAGATATTAGTATTGCTAATCTTGCATTACATTGTGAAACATGTGCTTGTAGAAAATTGTATTAAAATAATTTATATGCAGAATTTGAATATTTTTATTTCTACCCTTTTTAAACAATAATTTAATTTTTTTAAAGAATAACTTATTCGATTTTTGAAATTTATATTTTTTTAAATATCTTATTTAACCTATAAAAGATTAAATAATATATTATTTACGAAATTTTATGCTAAATATTACTTCTATTATATTAACTTCTATTATATTATTTTAATATATAAATAAATTCTGTGTAAAAAAATTACAATAAATTAAATAGTAACTGTAATGACTTATGAAATAATAATAATGACTTAGTGACTAAAGTTTTGTAAATTGGTATTTTTACATACTATTATCATGGGTACATATAAAAACTATATGAAATTATTGGAATCTTGGCCATTAGATAATACAAAACCTGGCAGGTAATTTTATTAAATAAATCAAATTAAAATTTTTTTATATCTTAATATTTTTATTATAAATATAATCATATTTATGCTAATATTTTTTAATTTTGCTTATAATCAATATTGAGGTTAAATTTAACGTTTTAAATGTTTTTATATTGTATGAAATTAATTATATATTTTGTTATTATTATATCATTATTATATCAATTTAATAATAATTTTATGTTTAATAATAATTATTATTAATTAATATGAAATATAATTTATAAAATAATTTATGTATTTCAGAGATTTGGCTCAACATATTCGTGACCAAATAAAACTTGCATTTGCAAAAGGTGAAGCTAGTGAAATAAATCGTGAACAATGTGATCGTTATTATACGAGTTTAAAGAGAATTTGTTCTAATCATTATGGACAAATTTATATTCGAAAATTTCCAAGTACAGCTAGTGGATTAACAAAAGAACAGTGCAATTTAATTCTTACACCGGAAGCATTACAATATTTTGAAGAAAAACAAGAAGGAATCTTTTCACGTACATTTTCAAGATTATTCAAGAATGTTATTAAAAAAAATGAATGATATGATTCATATACGTAGATATTATGGCATGAAATATTTAAGTAGAAATATATATTACTTATTTCGGAAACAAAATGATATAATATACTTAAAAAATAATAGAAAATATAGTAAAATAGTAAATGAAAATAATAATAATATTGAAAATGCATCTCACATACCAGTAATGATTAATGAAGTATTACATTATTTAGAACCATCACCAGGAAAAATTTTTGTGGATATGACATTTGGTGCTGGTGGACATTCTATGAAAATTCTGGAATCCTCTCCTAACATAAAAATATTTGCATTGGATAGAGATCCTATTGCACATCAATATGCATTAAAATTATCAGAAAAATATCCTGAACAAATAATACCATTATTAGGAAGATTTTCTGAATTACCACAACTGCTTTGTAAATATAAGGTAAATGTAAATAGCATAGATGGTTTTTTATTTGATTTTGGTTGTTCATCTATGCAACTTGATGTTGGTGAAAGAGGATTTTCTTTATCAAAAAATGGGCCTTTGGATATGAGAATGGATGGATTTAGATATCCACAAGAACCTACAGCTGCTGAAGTTTTAAAAGAAATAACAGAAGAAGATTTAGCTTTTATTTTAAAGATTTATGGTAATGAAAAATATGCTAAAAAAATTGCACGTGCCATTATAGAAACTCGATATACTTTTAGAAATTTAAAAACTACACAAGAATTAGCTCAGCTCATTGAATCTGTGATTCAAGAAAAAAGACTTGATCAACTTGGTAGATTTACTCATTGTGCAACAAAAACATTTCAAGCATTAAGAATTTTTGTAAATAATGAATTAAATGAGATTAATTATGGTATTGTTATTGCTGGATTTTATTTAAAAACCAATGGTCGTTTAATAACAATATCTTTTCATTCTCTGGAAGATACTATTGTTAAAAGACATATGTCTGCAAATATAACAGAAACTGTAGCTAATAAAATACCATTAAAATTTTCAGACTATGGCAAATATTATACTCTAACTGAAATGAAAGCTTTCAATCGAATTCCATGGAAAATGTTACATAAACATGTAATAACACCTACACAAGAGGAAATAAATAAAAATCCAAGATCACGTTCTGCAAAATTACGAGCACTTGCTAAAGTGATTTAATTATTAATCAAATTATTAATCAAATTATCAAAGTTTATAAATATAAAACATTTTTCATCTCAAACATTTCTTTTTAATTTTAATTTTTAATATAAAACAATATTTATTGTATCTGAAGGTATGTGTTTCATATATATATATATATATATATATATATGTACATTTATCACATAGAAGGAAATTAAAATTATTGTAATGATTAATACTATGTAATTTAAATATAGATAGCATAGTATTATAAATCATAAAAATATTTATAATATTTGATGTTTAATATATTCAAAATAAGCCTTCTATTTCATTTGTTTCATTATTCCAATCCATATCATAAATGCTTGGCCTTGTAGATAGACCTGGCATCATCATTATCTAGAAATATAATATTATAATTACAAATTATATATATATATATATATATATATATATA